GGGCCAGCACTGCCTGCCCGGGGAGAGCGCCCCCTGCTGAGCCCCCCCACCCTGCAGCACAGCGCCCCCTAGCGCCGCACTGGGGCCAGCACCTAACGCCTCCGGGACCCCACTGTAAATACAGGGCAACCCCACCGATGCCAATGGAATCAGGCCAGGGTTCTGATCCCTGGATAAATCCGCAGTAAGCCCAATGCCCTGGCCCTGTGGGGCAGACTGGGGGGAGGTGGGGAAATTGGGCACGGGGAGGAAGCGGGGGGATGACCCTGGGCTGCTATAGAGCAGGTTTGACGTGTCCTTCTCTCTTTCTGTTCTCCCCTGTTTTGTCCTATCCTCCCTTTCATGCCCTGGGACTCCAACCTCAGAGTCCCACAGCCCCCCATGCTCCCCCCCCGCATCAGAGGACTCTGCTCACTCCTTCACCCCCCGCTGGTAGGACCCCTACCCCCCTGCATCTGCATTATTTTTCCAGAGGTCACCCCCACTTCCTGCATCCCCATATATTCTACCAGGTGCCCCCCATCCGCTTTTCTGTCTCCTGCCCACCCCAGGTCCAGCCCCCAGCACAGGACTCCTGGATTCTGGCCCCTGATTTGAGAGGGGAGTGGGGTCTAGTGGGTTAAAGCAGGGGGGCTTGGAGCCCGGACTCCTGGGTTCTATCCCGGGCCCTGGGAGGGGAGGAATCACAGCAAGTCCCCAGGCTACAAAAAGAGGGGTTTATTTCATTGTCTTTTCACAGCATCGGCAGGACGCCGATTTACAAAGAAGCTTTTGCCAGCGGTCACCACGAGCTTCCCTGAACCGCAGTTCAACCCTCTCGGCCCGACAAACCCTTCCAGCTCCCCTGCGCCCGCACGCCACGCCCAGCAGCGAATCAACCCATTGCTCTCACGGATTGCTCCAATTCTCTCCAGCAGAGGGCAGTGCACCCCCTCTCCCCCAGATTTATACCCATGCGGACAGTGTATCACCAGTCAGCCATGCCTGATGGGGCGGGGCCTGGGAGCAGAGAGCCACGTCCCCTGGGGGAGGGGCCAATACAGCCACGCCCCCTGGAGAGGGAGGGGCATTTAACCATGTGCTGTTCTCCTTTCATAATCTCCCCAGCCTTCTACCCCTCCCTAAAGGGAGCGGAGGGACAAAAGAAGGAGGCGGCCCACCTCCCTTGGGGAACAATAAGCAACCCTCCATGGGGGCTCAGGAGAGAGCGACGCCCGGGGGATGAGACAGTCACACCGCCTGGAGGAAGTGTCAGATAGCCACGCCCTTAGAGTGAAGGGGAGGAGCCTGTCAGCACAAAGCCACGCCCTCATGGGCCCAGAAGAAGGAGGGGCTCTAGGGGAGCAGACAGCTATGTTCCAGAGAGAGGGGCTTAGGGGCTCAGAGACATAGCCCCTAGCGACTTAGGAGGGGGGGGAGTCCGGGGGGGGGGGGCATATAGCGATAATCTTCCAGAGGGGGGATACCTGGGAGCACAGACCACACCCCCATGATGGCTGAGGAGGGCAAGGAGCCCAAGGGGGATCAGAGGGCTATGCCCACCTGCAGGGGGGTTACCAAAGAGCCACACACCCCAGAGGGGCCCGCAGTGGTGGACAGAGCCACGCCTCCCAGAGGGGGGAGGGGCCCAGGGGCACACAGAGCCACGCCCCCCTAAGGGGGGAGGGGCTCAGGAGGACTGGCTCAGTCCTTCTGGCAGGCAGCCGCTGGGCCCGTTGGGGGGGTGGGTGGCCTCGTCGAGGGGTGGGCCGGGGGCGGGGCCGTGGGTGCGCAGGTGCTTGCGGAGGTCGGCGGCGCCGAGGAAGGCCTTGCCGCAGAGGGAGCAGGCGTGGGGCCGCACCCCAGAGTGGATGCGCTCGTGCTTGCGCAGGCCGGCGCGGTCGGAGAAGCCCTTGCCGCACTCGGGGCAGGGGAAGGGGCGCAGGCCGGGGTGGAGCCGCTCGTGCTTGCGCAGGTCGTAGGGCGAGGAGAAGGCCTCCCCGCACTCGGCGCAGGTGGGCGCCCCGGGGGCCGCCTCCGGGTGCTCCCCCCGCTGGTGGCGCCGCAGCGCCGCAGCCTCGCCGAAGGCAGCCCCGCAGAGCCGGCAGACGTGCCGGGCTGCGGCTCCCGCTTCTTCCTCCTCCTCCTCCTCCTCCCCGCCCCGCCGCTCGCCGTGGGTCCGCTCGTGCTTGCGGAGGCTGGAGGAGACCACGAAGGTCTTGCCGCAGCGGCCGCACTTGAAGGGCCGCTCGCCCGAGTGCACCCGGTAGTGCTTGGTGAGGCTGGCCCGCTCGGCGAAGCTCTTCCCGCACTCCCCGCACTGGAACGGCCGCTCGCCCGAGTGCACCAGCTGGTGCCGCTTGAGATCCCAGGAGGCCACGAAGGTCTTGTCGCACTGCAGGCACTTGTAGGGGCGCTCGCCGGTGTGGATCCGCTGGTGCATGGCCAGGTCGGCCGGCTGGCGGAAAGCCTTGCTGCACTTGTCGCACTGGTACGGCTTGACGCCCTGGTGGGCCCGCTGGTGGCGCCGGAAGCTGGAGGGATCCGAGAACATGCGGCCGCACTGCGGGCAGAGGAACGGCTTCTCCCCGGAGTGGGTGCGCTGGTGGCTCTGGTAGGACGAGAGCTGGGTGAAGCCTTTGCCGCACTGGCCGCAGCAGTAGGGTTTCTGCTCCGCGTGGATGCGCTGGTGGCAGGTGAGCGAGGAGGAGCGGGAGAAGGCTTTGCCGCAGTCGGAGCAGAGGAAGGGCTTCTCCCCGGTGTGGCTGCGCTCGTGGTTCTTCAGGTCCTTCAGCTCGGCGTAGGTCTTCTGGCAGGCGCTGCACTGGTAGGGGCGCAGGCCGGCGTGGATGCGCCGGTGCTTGCGGAAGACTGAGGGGTCGGCGAAGGCTTTGCCGCACTCGCCGCAGATGTAGGGCTTCTCGCCTGTGTGGGCCCGCTGGTGGATCTTCAGCTTGGAGAGCGTGCCGTAGCCCTTGGCGCAGTGGGAGCAGCGGAAGGGCAGGTCGCCGGTGTGCCGGGCCATGTGGACGCGCAGGCACACCGGCTGCATGAAGGCCTTGCCGCACTCCTGGCAGATGAAGGGCTTCTCGCCCGTGTGGCTGCGCCCGTGGCTGCGCAGCTCCGGCGCCGTCTTGTAGGCCTTGGAGCACTGCAGGCATTGGAAGGGGCGCTCGGCCGAGTGGCTCAGCTGGTGCTTGTGCAGCTGCGAGCGGTCGGGGAACTCCTTGGCGCAGCTGGGGCAGGCGTGCTTGCCCGGGGCGCTGCCCCCCCCCAGCGTGGCACTTGGCGTGGCGGAGCACCCGGGGCACGCTGGGGAAGGTCTTGCCGCACGCCAGGCACTTGTAGCGCCGGCCGCACTTGGCATAGCTGCCAGCCTCTTCTTTCTCCTCCTCTTCCTCCGAGTCACCCTCCAGCTTCACCACAATGCTCACCTCGGGCTCCTCCATCTTTGCGGGGGAGGGACAGGGGGCTGCTCTCTGAAAGAGAAGGCAGGGCAGGGTTACAAAGAGGGGTCCGTAGCGAGATCAGCCCCCCTCAGGATATGGTACGATGGCTGGGATGTGCATTAGGGAAAAATCCCACTTCATCCACCAATGTGTCCATTGGGCTGTCTATAGACTGAACCAGCACTGTATAATGCTGCTCTTGCTATGAGTGCAGCTATTGGGCTGCCTGTAGACTAAACTGGAAAGGTATAATCCCACTGTTACCACCAATGGAGCCATACAGGAGGGGAAGGATGGACCAGCCATTAGGGCACTAACTGAAGGCTCAGGAGATCTGGATTCATGACCCTGCTCTGCCACAGATTCCTTGTGTGACCTTGGCTACATCACTTGTACTCTCTGGCTCTCAGTTTTCCCATTTGTAAAATGAGGTTAATAGCAGTTCCTATGTCCCAGCGGGGTTGTGAGCATAAATATCTAAAAGACTGTGAGGTGCTGAGATACTACGGCAATGGGAGCCAAATAAATAACTAAAAGAGGTAGACACTAAACCAGGAAAGTATAATTCCACCATTGGCCTGCACGGAACGTAGATTCATACATTTATAATCCCATGAGCCCCTGCATGTAGACTAGATCAACAGTTTATCATCCCACTTCTGACACCAACAGGTCAACTGGGAGCACTCAAACACTGCAGACAAAGGGGACATGGTTACACAGAGGGCTGACCAGGTATTTATACACTCCCGTGGATGCGAGTCTATTGTGAGGCACTTATGGGTGCTGAACAAGGGCACGTGTTCACATGGAGAGGCAGACATTTGTTTTGCCACTCCAAGCAGCAATGTCCTTAAAATCCAAGAAACATCATAGATCTGGTTTTCAAGGTCATCTATTTGCCTTTTCTTTTGTGGTCAAGCACTGTAATGAGGCCTCAAAAGGTCTCATTATTTTTGTAGGACCTACAATATTTCCAGATTTAGCCAGCCAGCAGAGGATGCCCACATTGACAGGGCACGGTAATAGACAGAGGCGTCTCCTCTCAGCATCTTGGATTCTTTAACTGATGTCCTCTGCAGTTAAACTGTGTTTTAAAGACACTCTGTACTGAAGATAAAGCCCCAAGGTTTCCTGGGCATAAATCAATTCCCCAAAGGGCTCAGGGGCATTAAAATTCAGAGCTCAGGTCTATTTCCGCTTCGTGGCTTTTTGCCTCTCATCAGCCAGCCCTGCTTTTTCCTGCTAATCTCAATGGACCCAGCCTTTCCTCTGATATCAGCGCTGATATCTAGATTCCAAAGCCAGAAGGAACTATTGTGAGCATCTAGTCTGACCTTCTAAATAACAAAGGCCAGAGAACATCCCCCAGAATAATTCATCCATCCATCTTACTTTAAAAACTGGCAGTGACGGAGAATCCACCACAACCCTTGGTAAATTGTTCCCATGGCTAATTATCCTCACAGTTAAAAATGTCCAACTTTTTTCCAGTCTGAATTTGGCTTCAGCTTCCAGCCATTGGATCACCTTACACCTCCCTCTGCTAGATTGAAGAGCCTGTTCTTAAATATTTGTTCCCCATGTAGATACTTGTAGACTGGGATCAAGTCACCCCTGAACCTTCTCTTTGTTAAGACGAAGAGATCGAGCTCTTTGAGTCTATCCCTAATAAGGCAGATTTGCTAATCCTTTAATCGTTCTCACGGCTCTTTTCTGACCCCCTCTCCAATTTATCAACATCCTTCTTGAATTGTGGGCCCCAGAGCTGGACACAGGAGTCCAGCAGCAGTCACACCAGGCCAAATAGAGGTAGAATAACCTCCCTCTTCCTATTCGAGATTCCCCTATCTATGCATCCCAGAATTGCATTAACTCTCTTGGCTACAGCGTCACACACTCCTGTTCCAATGAACATGAAAGCAACATTTTTTCCCAGAGTCACTGCTTTCCAGGATGGAGTCCCCCAACTCGGTAAGTAAGGCCTGCATTCTCTGTTCCTAGATAGATCCATTTACAATGAGCCATATCAAAACACAGATTGTTTGCCTGAGCCCAGATTACACTCTGTATCAGTGACCTGGCCTCTTCAGGATTTACCACTCCCCTAATGTTGGTGCTAGCTGCAAACTTGATCAGTGATGACTGTATGTCTTCTTCCAGGTCGTTGATAAAAATGTTAAATAGCCTAGGGCCAAGAACCGACCCCTGCAAGACCACGTTGGGAACACAACCGCTCAACGATGATTCCCTGTTTACAGTCACATTTGGAGATGCATCAGTTAGCCAGTTTTTAATCCACTTAATGTGGGCCGTGTAAATTGTATAGCATTCTAGTTTTTTTAATGCAACGTCGTATGGTACCATGTCAAATGCCTTACAGAAGTCTAAGGATATTACATCAACACCATTACCAACCAAATTTGTAATCTTATAAAAAAAAAATCAAGTTAGTTTGACGGGATCTATTTTCCGTAAATCCCTGGTGATTTGCATTAATTATACTACACTCCTTTAATTCTTTATTAATCCAGCCACTAGCTCGCCCAGGATAATGTCAGGATTACCCGGATCATCCAGGTTACCCTTTTAAAAAAAATTGGCAGTACATTAGCAGTGTTCTAGTCTTCTGGCACTTCCCCGGTGCTCCAAAGACTTGCTGAAAAATCAACATTTTGAGACTGCAGAGGAAATGCAGACACCACAGCCCCTTTGGTTTAGTCGCCCTGAGCATGAGGAGCAAACAGGGAGTCAGGTGCACAGATTTCTTTGTTGCCATGAGCACGCAGACATGCAGCAGACCTGGGGTCCGGGGCATGGATTGTTTAGTTGCACCGCTAACCGGGTCTCTTTAGGACCAGGAATGGCAAGGGTTAGGGGGCCAGAGACCTAGGGCAGCCCCAGAGAGCAGCAGTGTGCAGGTATTTGCCATTCTGGAGAGTAGCCTCCCCTCTCCCTCCGAGGAATTTTGTGCATCATTTCTTGCTTAGCATTGGACCGGCCGGGAGGCAGAAAGCAATTGCAAAGGGACTGTCTTTAGGACCGGGGGAGGCGAGACCGGTGCAGAGGGGGGTGTCATCCTGCAGCCAGGGCAGGAACAGCGCAAGGAGGCAGAGATGGGCCGCATTTCTGCGTGGGTTTGCACGGCTCAAACCGCAAAGCAAAATGGCTGTAGCTAGGACCAGGGGAAGGTGGGAAATGCAACCCACGGGGGGCTGGCTAGTAGGTAGGACGGGACTGCCAAGGGGAACTCGCCTCTCTTTGTGCATTCGAGCTTGGAGAAAAATACCGAGCGGGGCTTGAGTCGCGTATGTTGCCACACAAGCCAAGCAACGTGGCTCGGGGGGGGGGGGGGGGGAGACGAGAGATTTGCAAGGCGAGGCCTTTTGCAAAAGGCAGGCCCCCTTCCCAAGCAATCATTGCATGGCTCCGCGCTTGCAAAATGGCTGGTTTTAGGACCAAGGGAGGAGACGCCGCCCCAAAGAGGCAATGCAAAGGAGAGAGAGGCTGGAAAAGAATATGCAAAAACAAAAGGGGGTGTTTGTCTCCTTCTCCGCACTGGAGTATCGAGATGGTGCAAAAGAAAATCGAGCCGTGCAAAGGCAGCGAGGGCTCGCGGCAGGGCGCTGGCTCTGGTCGCGTGCAAAATGGCTCTCTCTAGGACCCCGGGAGGAGACGCCACCCCGCCGGCTGGGGAAGGGTTTTGCAGAGAGGCTGCCCCAGCGTGCACCCGAGGCGGACAAGCTGCCGCCTGGCCGGCTCCCGGAGCTGGTTTGCACCAGGCTGGCAAGGAGCAAGGCTGGTTGCAAAATGGCTGGGTCCAGGACCGGGGGAAGCGGCTCTCCCCTAGGCAGGGGGGCAGTTTGCAAAGGCGATTTGCCCCCCCCCCCGGAGCTGGCGTGAATGCACGGGTTAGGAGGGCTTGCAATGGGTTAATCTCTGCCTTACCTGGCTCCTGCCTCTCTTTAGCTGCTGTTCCCCACTCCCTGCTGGAGCGGAATGAGTCAGCCCCTAGGACCCTGAGGGAGGAGAAGACAACAGTAGAGGAGGGGGGGCGTGGGGGGGAGAAATGCAAAGTCAAGGAGCCGCTTAAAGGGCTATGAAACCCCCCTCCATAGCCCAGCAGGCTTCCAGCCCCGGGGGATTTATTGCCACCAGGCTGGGGGGGTTGCTACACCCCAGGACCTGGGGCGTGGGGTGGAGGAGGGCAATTGATTGCAAAGGTAGGAACCTTGCTTCCCGGTGGGCTGTTGGGGGGCGGGAAGAGGTTGGGGGGAGCAGCGCAGGAAGTGTGGCACAGCCATGCACAGCACGGTGGGAGCGGGGGGGCGGCCATAACCGGAAGTGTGGCACGCAGAGCACCCAATGGGAGGGGGGTGTCGTTACAAACTATCTTATAGGGGACACACCCCCAGGAAGGGGGGCGGGGTTTGAAGGGGGCTGATGCACAGGGAGGGAATGGGAGAGAACCCAGGAGTCCTGGCTCCCAGCC